TTTTAGTTATTCGTAAACTTGCTGCATTACCTGTTCCACCACGATCAACAATTATTGAACGTATAGCTGCTGCTCCACCACGTCCACGTGATATCATCATTGAACGTTGGGTACCTTATGGTGCAGCTGCAAAACGTCGTACTATTGTTCAACGTGCTGCAGCAGCTCAAGCATATCAACAACCACGCAATGTCGTTATTCAATATGAAAGTGCACAAGCTCGCGTTGTTCGTCAATTCCAAAGATTAGGTGTACAACCTGAAAATCCTCAAGCCTATGTTCAACGATATGGTGCTCAACTTCTTGACTCAGTAACACTTGTTCAACAAGCACGAGCAGCTGGTGTCGTAGAAGATATTGTAATTATCATTATATTTTATTTCGATTATTTTTTCTTATTTTCTTTTAAAATTTATTTATAGTCACCCCCCGTTGTTCCTGGTTCATTTGCTGCTACTGAAGGTCAATTTTCAGCAACTGGTGGTGCTAGTGGTGCTGGTGGCCTTACTGGACAAGGCTTTGGTGGTATTGCTGGTGAGATGAATTTTGAAGCTACTGCTGGTGGTGTTGGATCAAGTTCAAATATTGCTCATTCATCTTTTGAAGCTCATGGTGGTGGTGTAGTTGGAATTGATTCACCTGCAGCTTTTAGCAGTCATGTTGGTGGTGCTGGTGAAGGTGCAACTGGTTTCGGAGCTACCGGTGTACTTTCACAATCTTTTAGTGGTGTTGGAGAATCCGTACAAACCTTTGGTGCTGGTTCAAATGTCGGACCAGGTTCAGGTTTTGCCCCATCAACTCTCTTCAATGCTGCTGATGCTAATCATGATGGCGTTCTCTCACAGAGAGAATTCAATGCCGCTGGTTATTAACATAGTAATAAAAAATTTCCTTTTTATTTTTTTCCTTTTTTTCTAAAATATTTTACGTATTTTTAGGAACATCAATAAAATAGAAGTAGCAATTTAAAATACAAAATTATTTTAGGATTTTTCATTATTATCGATTATTTTTCATTTTTATACTTATTTATATATAATTGTACTTCTAAATAAAAGAAAACAGTCTTTATAATATATTGTTTTATTCGATCTGATATTATTGTAATAATCGAAATTATATCTGTCAGTAGATGTATTGCTTGTTATAGTGAGAAGAAAAAGCAGACTATATAAAGAGCAACCAAAAAAAGCCGCATATTATCTTTTAACTAATATTTCTTATTCTATCATGCAAAAATCAATGACTGATATTGTAATGAAAATATAAACAATTTAGAGGAAACCAAAAAGTAATATATGTATATTTATCCACCTTTTTTTTCGATCAAATGAATCACATTATACAAACAAATCTAATATATGATACATACAGGTAGAAGAAAAATAGATTTTCCACCACGTGGTTGATCACGATTCATAATCAAGAAGGAAGAAAATCTAAAGTATAATTTATTTTTTGTCTATTCTACCAAAACAAAGATTAAAGATTTTTTCTGCTTGCTTATCTTTTAAATATTGATAAAACTGTTCAAAATCTCTTTTACTAATCGTATCGAGAAGATAATCAAGTTGCTGAAATTAATTAAAACGTAAATTATTTTTCTTTCGTTTATAGCCTTTTTCATGTTAAATTACGTAAACATGTCCAATATTCAGCCACATTTGATACTACATTTACATGGTAATGAATAACTATTTAAATGTAATGCATGTACTCAATTAACTATATTTTTCTGTGTTTTATAAATGATGACTGTATATCCAAGAACGAGAAAAATTCGTTTTCTTCATTATTTGTTCATTTATTGTTATATCATTAAGAAATTGTTTTTATATCATTTACGTGATAAATATGTAGGTAGATGACTATCAACAGGTAATTCAGGATAATGAAGTGGATAGATAAATTGAAGTTTAATAGTTGTCTAAAAAGAAGAAATTCTTTTGTTTCATTTAGTGTGTCTATATCATCATAAGATAGAATTCATCTGACGATGGATCAAGAATAATACGCAAGCAAACTTTGTTTTTTTTAAGCCAATGTTTTAGTCAAGAAAAAAAATATGATCAAAACATATTGTTGATGATGTTTATCACAATCGATAGATCGTTTAATTAAAAAACTAAAAATAAACGAAACTTTGTAAAATAACTTTGATTTTCAATTTAAACCATACCTTTATAGGTAACCGTGATATTTATAGCTTGAAATGACGAAAGTAAGACGATAAAGAAAAAAACTACCATGAGAATGTCAAGAAATGAAAATTAAACTTCTATTGATGCAATAATGATATTACATTCATAGCTCTAGATAGTAACGAAAATCTATCTGTTTATGTTTCTGTGTAAAATTTGATCAAATAATTCATACTTTACTAGAAAGAACTATTATTTACAATTTAAAAAAATGTATATATGATTTTTTGACTCTGAACTTTCTCGGAAATCGTTATTTTCTGCTCATAAAATTAAATTTATGAAGTTTATGTGGTCAATCATAGTAATATAACTTATCTACTAAATGTATTATCAAGATTTTATCTTTAAACGAAATAATCTAAACGATAAATTAAGATAAAAAAATGCACAAGTATCTAATCATGTTTTCTTTAGTCAGTATGTTATTTCAGAGGAAAACCAATCTTTTTATACATTGTATGAGCATATTTACAAACGTCAACTTTCTAATATACTTTTATGAGAATTGCTGTTGAATTTTGCGTATACGCTTCGTATTCCATCGATAAAACATGTTCTAACAAACTCAGATTATAGTCAAAATTTACAAAAAAAGACAACTTATTAATTAACGAAAGAATGTTTTGATATGTCCCAGTTCATTTTAAATTCTTGTTTGTCTATAATTAATATATAGTATTTATTACATACCATCTTATATCGCTAAACAATCACAACAAAAACGTTGTCTACACTTGTTATATCTGTTCGTTGATTTTGTAGTGGGTATTATTCTTTTTCCTTTTTTTCTTCCAACAAGTTATTGCAACATTAAAAGAAATCAATGATAAAACAAACACCTACTCATTTAATCGGAAGAGAAAGCAAAAACACATCATATAACTATCATATATACCTATACACGACAAATTTTTAACAACATTCAACAATGGTAAATCAAACCATCGCTACCTTCTTAACATTACCGGTAGAACTTGTCTACCGCATTCTGGATCATCAATCGGATCTTACAGTGTTATGCTCAATGAGAAATGTATCTCAACGATTCAACAAAATCCTCGACAGTTATGATCGATATCAGGTAAACTTTTTTCTAGCATCACGGTATAATTTTTATTTATTGACCTTCAAATTATTTTCCCTTCCTACAATCTCTATTTAAATAGAATAATTTCAATAATATATAAATAAACTTTGTCACTGAAAATAATTCATCAGTTATCATTCTCTTCCCAAAAATTTATTTTTTCTATCAGGACAATATAGAAATAATATAGAAATAATCACGAAAAAATAATTTCTTTTTCTCTTCCTATTCAATCTCTTTTGAATAGTTCCGCATTTCAAACCAAAGCATGACGTCAGTAACATATAATCTTTAGATAAGAACGAAAGAAAAAGGAATAAAACATTGTTAGTTACTTTTACATGTATGTAGACACGTTATTATAAATACTATCTCTATATTAAAAACCATATTTTTATAGATAAAAATAACGGTCTAGACATTCTTCTGAGACATATCTCCAAAAAATATTCTTTTGATGACATGGGCGATTGTACGAATACGTGACAGTGGATGTGGTTGAAGAGAAGAATAATCTACAAAAATACCTACAGTCTCATCCGATTCGATCACTCGCACTCGTACTATAAAAATTGTTGTGAAACGCATTTCAACTGAAACATACTTTCTCAACGAGGAAAGAGATACTTTTTGTACGACAATTTAGCATATATTCGTCTTCTACTCATTATGCATATAGTCGTATGCTGCAATTGAAAGCAACAATCACGATCAATAAGTTTTCTCACTAATATAAATCATATGCATGAATGAAACGAAATTAGATGCATTACGCGGAGTACTGATGCCAAACACATAGTGAGTTACACGAATGGAAATAGAAGAAACTATTTTTGTCATACCTGTAGACCACTAGCAAGCGATGTATCATACTTTATAACACTCTAAAACCATTAATTCCAATGCATTGTGCTTTCTGCACATAATCCAACGCTTCATAATTGCTTTTTGTCGGAGCAATTTTCAAACTATTACTCATTCGCTAAAACTCTTTCCTTCCTCCACAAATATTCAGACTCATATATCAGTACCGTTTGCAGCCCCGTCACACTAGCATACATTACACTGACCAAACAGAAGATAGCAGCAACCATTAATTCTCTTCTTTCGCCCGTACTATACCTATATCCGCACTTTTTTACCCAGACACTCATCGCACTAAATCTTGGGGGCAATCAAATCGGAGTTGTTGGAGTACAATATTTGGCTGCTGCATTACAACATAACACAGTAA